GGGTTTAATATTTTTCCTAGAACTTTTTTTTTTTTTTTTTTTTTTTTTTTTTTTTTTTTCGAAAAAAAAAAAAAAAAAAAAAAAAAAAAAAAAAAAAAGAGAAAAAAAAAAGAAAAAAAAATTTCCCGTGAGCTTAGTGCTGCCATTCAAGAGGAGGGAAACAAGCCTTAAGATCCTAACAGAGACCAGCTGGCCAAGCCCAGACTTTGTGCAACGTTTGAATTCCTTACACAAACAGCACAGGGCTGGCCGGCGCTCCTCAGCCAGCGCCAAGCCGATGGCTGGCCCGGGCGGCACGGCCAGAGCTCCGGGCAGCAAGAGCCCAAAGGGGCACCCGGGGCGCCGGGTCCTGGGCAGCGAGTGGCCGGACAGGGAGCGGGGGGAAGGCTGCAGGAGGATTCCTGGGAAAGGGGATACCCTGACCCAGTGCCCAACACCTCAAAGGCACGTTGTGTGCGCGAGTGCTTCTAACCTTTCCGGTCCTGCACTTGGCACTATGATTAAAAGCTAAAAAAAAATATAGAAATAGGCAGAGGGAGCAGCTTAACTATAGACGGGGCCAGAGAACATGCCTCGGCACACCTGTGCCGGGACTGAGCCACGGGAGTGGTGAGAGCACCCATGGGTGCCTGGCAGCCCCTCTCTGGGTGGCTGCTGCTGCTGTGCCAGGGGAAGGAGAGGGCAAGATGGAAGGGGGGCATGTGTGTGTCAGGTGTACCCCCCCGTGCTATACCACCAGCCAAGCCAGAGATGCCCCAAACCTCAACCTTCAACCAAGAGGTCTCCTGCGGCAAAGGTGACACCCCAAAGCCATTCAGGGCCTAGAACCACCACTGAATCCCATGGCGGGGACTGGGCAGGTTGTTCCCAACCATCAGCAGGCTGGGGTCCCTAAGAGGCTGAGTGGAGGATGCCGGTTTTCCCAGTGGCACCCACTGTCTGAGCCACGGGTAAGGTGACCAAACCACCATTTCCAGCCTGGCCACCGGCTGGGGACCTTGGCACCTGCACAAGCCATCACCTGGGTGCCAAGCTCCTGCCTGCCCTTCCATCCCCCAGCGCTACAGGACGCACCCAAGGTCACACCAGGAGAGGAGCCAGAAATAGAAGCCAGGCTCCTGCTTTCCTTTGTTTAAGCAACCCTTCCCCAGAAACAAACCTCCTGCTTTCATTTTGGTGCGTAAGAAGCCCTGCTCCATGCCCTGCCCATGGCTTTAGCCATGCACCGCCCGTGCGGGGCCCCAAGTCCCCTGGCAGCAAACCCCAGCAAAAGACCAAGCCTCTCACGGTGCTTGATCTCCTCAGCATGACCCCATCACTCCCCAGTTATTTAAACAATCGTGACAGAACATTGTACATATATCCTTCTCCCCAGGACCACGGTGCCGGCAAGTCTGCACCTATGCCAGGCCAGGGACACGGAGCGAGGGCCAGCGGGGCCAGCTCTGCGGGAGTCACCCAGGGCCTCCTCATCTTCCCAGGAGGATCTGTCATTTCTCCAAGCAGCTTAAAAGCACAGAATCCAGCCTCTTGCTGCTCAATGCAGGGCGCCGGGAACACCACATTTTGAGGAGCAACGCATTCTGGCTTCCGAGGAGCCCTGCCTTCCCCATCCCCACGGCAGGATTTCCTCCCCGGTGCAGCGACCTGCTCTCTCCAGCACCTTACAGCACTTTGCTGCCAAACCCCAACTTTAAGCCCGTGTTGGCCAAGGACCCCGGCTACAAAAATCAGGAAAAGCGAATAAGCAGCAGCCGAGCAAGCGGCAGCTGCTGTGTGCTGAGGGTTTTTCAGCAAGGCAGGAACGATGCTGCAGTTTGGAGCATCTCCGAGACTCAACTTGGTAGCATTCCACACAGTAACAGGGTCAAAACTGAGCCTGGTTTGTCCCTTTTTTTAGCTGCTGTGCCGAGGAAGCTTGGCCCTGGGAATACCAAGGCCACAGAGCAGGAGATGGAGCTGGTTTGCTCGGGACAAAAGAGAGCAGAACCTTCCTCAGAGAAAAGGCACAGAGCTACACAACTGCCAGAACCAAGTCCGAGGTGTGCCTGCCAGCATCCACGCAGACTAGGGAAGGACTTGCCTAACAGGCACTGAGCCCCAGTGGGACCCCCAGCCCAGGAAAGGAACATGTCCCCACTGAGACCCGGGTGCAGGGGGAAGACTGCACCAGATTCGTCTTTCTCTTTCTTCCTACACCACACAGTTCAAAACTGGAACACAATGAGAAGATGGGACCAGAAAGCTGTAAGCTAGAGACTCTCTCCTCTTTAAATGCTTTCCAGTACCAGTATGGAAGAGCTGGGCTTCCCATCCCCCCTCACCTCAGTCTGAGCCCCCCCAGCCAGCACGGCCCTCTGCATGACAGCAAGGGAAACCTTTGCTTTCTCTCCCTGGAAACATTAAGCAAGGTTATTATAGCAGGGAGTCATGCAGGAGGTCTCCTTTTAAGTGACAAAGTTGCTTCAACGCTGGATCCGCAGAGGCTGAGCTGGTCAGGAGAACATTTAGAAGTCTTAACCAAATGCCTTTTTTTTTTTTCCCCTTTCTTTCTCTGCATCACCCAGAAAAGTCTGTCTCTTCTGTCTGAGCTCTTCAGGTTACAAGGAAACAAGAGACTGCCAAAAGGCACTGGAAACAGCTTCAGCTCTAAGAGCCACCCTCCCACGCACGCTGCAGTTTCTACCGCTCCAAGCAAGAGCTGCCGGGCTGCGTTAGGATGTCAACAGCCAGTTGTGTTTCTGACTCTGGGCTTGCCTTTTATCTCAGGGGAGACAAGGAAAAAAAGTGCATCTGAAACTTGCGCTGTCTGGAACAGTTTAATGGCAAGCTTCCCACTCAGAAGTAATCAAAGAGCAATAATTAACATGCGTTTACTGTAGGAGAAGATACCCTTGCTGCATGCTGTGACAAAGCTGGAATGAAAAAATCTGTTCGACTGCAGGCTAAATTTGATTTCCTTTAAGTTCTATAGCTGTCTGGCTCAGCAGCAAAATCCAGCCACCATCACTAAGCTGTTACTTCTCTTTGCCAGGTAACGACTCAAAACATCCTGATTCCCCCCCCGTTCCCCTCCAACCAAACCTTCAATGCCAGGAGAGCCAGCGCCCGAGCGCCACGCAACCACCACACGACATTCACCAGCCCCTGCCCTCGCCGCTAACCCACTCCGGCAACGAGCCGTGGCTCAGAACCAACCCTCGCTCTTATGCAATTCAAGAGGGACTGCATTTTCACTGGCCTCCTTTTAAACATGCTCGCTTGCCAGTGATTAATGCTGCTTAAAGTAGCTCAAGTTTCACCGCTCAGGTCCGCTCTTGCCAACAGCACTGGGCCAGGACTCTAAAAAGCTCCAGAAACTGCAGAGATTGTGGCTAACCAAGGAGCCCAGCACGGGCTCTCGCATACACTTGAAAAGGAAAAAGAGCATTTATAACCAAATCAACATTACTACGAACAAGCAGCAAGGCTCAGAGAGCCCAGAGATCAGTTAGAATTATTTCCATGCATTTGGCTATAATTTTCCCCATTTACAAAAGACGGGACATTGCAAGTCTCATCTTGATGAGCCCAAACCACACATGCTTTCTCCCAAAAGTCCGTGATTTCACAGGTTCAGCCCCAGCAACAACTGCTTTCCCAAGGAAGCGGCTCCAAACCCACTGCCAGGTTTTGCACAGGCACCCAAACCCTTCCCCCCAACAAAACCCAGCAAAATCACTCACAGTTGTCAGACTGGAAATCTGGGACAAATTGTTCGTCATCAGGGACCTGAGCTAAAAAAACAAACAAACAAAAAATTGGTTTTACAGCAGTTTTGGTTCTCAAAAATAAAACACTCACAGAGAGATTTTACACAGAAAAAAGCAGAGGTGAAGACTTGCCTTCAGCTAGCCAGGCCTCCTGGAGCTGGCTGAGATCCTGGAAGAGCTCTGGAACAGGGTGAGAGAATTATGCACTCCACAGAATAAATAAAACTGCCATTATTTGCAGGATTATTCCTAAACCGATAAAGGCCAGGAGAGCGGTCTCGGGGGCTGCAGCGAGGCCACGGCCGCCCGGGCCAGCCCTGCCTACCTTCCGAGTCGTGGGCCAGGTCGGTCTCCAAAAACTTCCTTTTCCTCTCGGAGCCCGGCCGGCCCCGGGCCTCCTCTGCGCAGGACTTCTGCAAGGAGCGGGGCGAGAGCGGGTCGGGAGGGTGGCAGCCCCCAAGGACGGGGCGTCCCGGGGGACGGGGTGACCCCCAAGGACGGGGAGCGGGGCACAGGGCCGACTTACCCCGGGGCCCATGAAGGGAACCTGCTGGTCGTAGAAGCCGTCCATGGCGCGGGGGAGGCGGGCAGTGCCCCCGGCCCGCTCAGCATCGACGCCGGCCGGGGAAGGGGGGGGATCCCGGGCCGGGGCTCCGGCAGGTACGCGGCTGGGGGTGCGGGGAGGAGGGGGGTCAGGATCAGGCCCCGGCCGCTCCTGCCGCGGCGGGTCGC